GCACAGCTCTCAGAAATAACACCGTGCATTCTGTGCACAACGTTCTCCACAGCCGTATGTAACATATCACGAGAAATATTCCGCACTGTCTTTCTTATGTTATCCTTTAGAATAGACAAATTTGATACTCCACCAACATAAACTTGAGATTTCAAATAACCCCAGAGCCAAAAATCGCATGGCGTGAGGTCAGGGGAATTAGGCGACCATGCAACTGGAAAACTGTGACTTATGACTCTATCATCAGTGAAATTTTGGCCCAACAGCTGCTTTACCTTATTACTAATGTGCGACGGAGCACCATCCATAAAGATTATCATAAAGATTATCTGTTGGAGTTGGTTTCTTTGCTGAAGTTGTGGAATAACAAACGTTTGCAGCATTTCGTGATACCTTTCTGCATTTATGGTGCACGTTTGGGGTCCTGTCGGAGTGATGGTCTCAAAAAAGAATGGCCCAATTACGAATTCGGCTGTGAAACAACACCAAACAGTGACGTTTGGGGAATTTAATGGGATTTTGCGCTCAGAAGCCCAAATTCGGCTATTTTGTGTGTTTACGGACCCATTGAGATAAAAATGACACACAACTCCCCACAGAATGTGCCATGAGAAAGCATCATCAATTTCTACCCTGGCAAGAAACGATAGAGCGAATGTCATTCGCTTACCATAATCACTTGCTTTCAGTTCGTGCAAGCGGCTGATTTTGTAGAAGTAATATCCAATAACGCGCCTCAAAACTCTCCATACCGTGGAACAATTCATTCCAATTGTCGAGCTACATCCCGGGCGCTGCTAGTACCAGCAATGGTTCCCTGCGATCCTTCGACAATTGCAGTTGCCACATCAGTTATTACATCTTCTGATGCTGGTTTACGTCCTCTTCCAGCGCGAATGGTTAGTAACCCCGTTTCCTCGAACTTCTTAATCATTTTCTTAAGACCATTCAGCGATAAAGGCCCCCTTCGTAATTCCCGAAGAGCTGCGGGTGCATTACATTTATTCATGTAATATAACTTACGTGCGTTACTGGTGAAGCATGAATAATGCATTACATTATTCATGCTTCACCAGTAACGCACGTTCTGGTAACGTGAGAGGCATGTCCACTGGTGCTAGTTTACTTCAGCTGAGATTATTTGTCGGATCTCTCTACTACTTGCTTTTATAGCCCTATTACTGGCGCTGTCATCGCACAACATTTGCATTTTTCTTTGATACCCGTGTTTTATGCTAATTCTCGTTATTGTAAGCTACAGCAGCGCTACAAAATGACCTAGCGGCGATTTTTGGAACTAAAATGTTTTTTTCACGGAATCCCATGTCTTGGTTAGTCTAAATACCAAGTTTGGTGCCATGTCGGCTATTAGATCGCGCTACAGGGCGCTCCAAACACTGTCACTTTAAAAAAGATCACCCAGTATATATATAAATATATTTTATATACGTTTGGTGCGGCCGTGCACATCTACATGTTATAGCAGTCCTATATACAAAATTTCAACGTTCTGAGACAACGTTCGTTTTTGAGTTATACGAGATACGTACGTACGTACATACGTTCGTACAAACGCCACGAAAAATTCTCTTCTTAAAGCAGTTTTATAATTTTTTTGGAGGAAACGAGTCTTTTATTCTGTCCTTACGTACAGATATTACGCAGAAACATCGTTAAATTGCATTCAATAGCGGTCAAAATGGATATTTTCGTTGAAATATGCAGCCTGAAACTTTTCGCGGTTACAATACTTCCTTTTCACTTCGTACAAGGAAGTAAAAAGGACAACGTGCATAGTGTAAAAATGCAGCCTTTCTTTCCGTGTTGCCATTTTGTAAAGCCCTGAACTTTTGAAATGGTACTGCCAACTTCCGCGTAACAGTGAATAACCATTGCTATATGAGTAATACTATGGAAATACAGTAATTAGAAAACTAAATAATGATTTACCTATAACTTCGCAATTTAAACAGTAATTTTTTTAGTAACTGACATATAGGTGTTGCTATTGTAAAATATTTAGAACTTTAAAATTACTTAAAACTATTTCTAGGGCTGATATTTTGTAGTAAGTGGAAATGCAAAAGAACATGTTAGTTAAAATCCGGATAAACATTTAAAAAAAGTAAACCTAAAAGAAATACCTGGCAGAAGTTCATCCCAAACCCTTTATTTTAAAAGAAAATATGTACTTCAGGTTTTAACTTATATATATTTAAGGAAATAAATTGAAATACTTACGTTAGTTACTATAGCACTGAATAATGTTTTCTCACAATATTATCGAAACATTTTTAAAACTCTCCTCTCTTCCTTTCATAAAATTCTGAAATATTAAAAAAATATTTATAAAAATCAAAGTAAAGGGAAAAGAAATCGCATTCTTACTTTTTATTTAATAAATTTTCTTATATAATTAAATAAACATTAATAACACATAACCTAACATTAATTCAACTTGCAGTTACTTCTATTACAGCTTCGCGGTTTAAATTTTGTTTAGAATTTTACATGAATTGAATATCCTATTTTACTTCAAGAATGAAAACTCTAAACTATACAGAAATGAGAAAACTTATCAAAGTAAGAATGAAAGAATGTAATCGTGTGGTCTTCGTTTGATTCTATTCGATGTGGAAGAAACGTATGTGTTGAGAATACTTTCTGTTTATTTAGCATATATATGATTTACGTTTTAAGTATTTTTCTGAAGAAGGAGAGTATATTTTTCTTTAAAATGAAATAAAAATGCAGAAATTCTATCTTGTGACGTAATAATATTTAGATTTTGCAATATTCATGATATTTTTCTGTTTTTTTCTTTCTTTGATCATTTTATATATTTCTCCATTTATGATTTCTCAATTTCTTTACTTATGGAATGATATTCAATGTTTTGGTTCATTTGTTTCAAGCCAACACAGTGTATATAGCAATACAAGACTAAACAGAAAATATAATCTGTATATTCACAAATTGTGGTATCAAATTTCTAAAATAATATTTTAGTCCGGAATTTTACCTACGGAAACTCAAGTACTTTATAACTTTGATTTTTCTTTTGAAAATTCCAAATGCGAGGAATATTAACACACGCTAATTTATAAAAATACTCTTTTTTGCTTTTCAATGGCACTGCCATTCAAAATAGGAAAAAAAGATATTTTCTGTCTATATTTCAAGTTCGACTTTAAGGTGTACAATGCAGGAACATCAAAAAGATTTTGAACATAAACACATGACTGCTTTTAGGCAAGGGTGCCTAGTAATTAAACTGACTGATGCAATGAGCAGTCATATGATATATGTGAGTTGATGTTTTGTTGGTTCGTGATTGGTACTTGTGACAATTGTGTCTTTGCTAAAACACCTGTACTGAAACATCTATGTATTTCTTGGTTACAGAAGCACGAAAGAAAGGATGGCTAGGAGAAGTTAAGGTATTTCAACAATGGTAAGGTATTTTAAGACAGTCAGTTTGCACTTTTCTCTGGATAAACATTTACTTATGTGGAAATGGGTGCAGTTTATGAGAATGTTTCCCCCTTTGCATGCAATAAAAGGATATGGTTGATGCAATTTACTTAAAATCAGTTCGTTTTTGTTGAAGAGCCAGCTGGTTTTTTTTTTTTTTTTTTTTTTTTTTTTTTTTTGCACAGTCTTTAAATGAATGACATGTAACTTTGGGATCCAAATAGCGTATCTGTTATTCAAACAATGAACCTTTGCCGAAAGTTTTGATAACGAAATGACAGACATTAAAATTGGAATGAGCTATTAAAATGTGGATCATGTAAGATGCGCTTTTCAGTCTTTCTCTGTGTAAATAAGGAATGCAAATCAACTATGGGAAGAAAATTTAACATTTGATTCATTTTTTAGCTTAAAAATGAATCCAGTAGAAGTATTTCTTATTTTTTGTTTATTTATAGTACTTTAACTGTAGATTTGTTTTGTTATTTGTCAAATATACTGAATTTTCGCGCGTATTCCCCCCTTTCCAAGCATTTTAGGTCTAGGCCCTTTAAATTAAAAAATATTCGAATAATTTTACCTTCCCCATGTTGTATATAATTTTTCCTTCTGAGGGCTAGTTTATCGGTAAAATACATTCCTTTGATTGTTTTATTTTTATTCAGTGCATTTAATTTGTATTTGCATTAGCATTTAATTTTTTTACTTGCATTCATTATTTGAAACGTATTTTGAGATTTTTTGTTAAGCTACGTGGACGTGGCAGGTTTTCTTACACTTTAGATACTTTCGAAACGTGTGATTTCACCTTACTTCTGTTATTTAAGTTCTAGCTCATTGTAGCCTTACCTACTGTTGATATGTTCGATCTTTCGAACTCTGTCTTTTGTTAGCACCTCTTCTCATTCCTTTCTTCGGTGTTCTTTTTGGGAACTTTGGTCAAGACATAATCGTTCGAGGTGCTCTTGGGGCTTTAAAAGGTAATTGAGCTACTGTTGCTTATAAGCTCAGTATCCATAAGACAGTATAATGTTTAATATTATTATGTATTCTTATTGGAATATTGGTTTCTTTTAAAGAAATAATATTGTAATAATTACTAGTTGTTTATCCATGACTGCTTTTCCTTTGCTGTGCTCTTACAGTAACTGCGTTCTTCGGAAATAAAACCGCTCGCATAATTTCTCTCCTTCTAATTTCGGACTATAAAATTAGTTAAAAAAGAGGAAAAAATACGGTAATATCCCAAAAAGAAGCTACATTTAAAAAATTTTGAGGTTTTTAAAAATGGTTTTGTAAATGGTTTCAATGCTTAATTTTCGCAAAATACTGTGTTAACAACACAGTAGTTATCTAGAGTCTTAGAAATTGGAAATATTGTATTGTAAATCATTGGAAATATTGTAAAACTCGGATAACTGATTTCTCTGAGAAATGCCTTCTTTTCGAAACATTGCCATTATGAATTTCACTTCTATTGTACAAAATTTTGGCACTGATTTCCTTCTTTCGATGCATTTATTCAGCTGGAGGATGACATTCTGACCAAACCGCATTACTTGACGATCATGAAGAACTTCGCCTTCAAGAAATTGAGGGAGAACAAAGACTGGATCATTCTGGATTTCTGCCAACTGGGTTTTATAGGTAAGCCCCCTTTCATATTCTCCTCTCCCTGCGATTCAGTGCAGGGCTTATCGATCGTGGAAGGAGTATAAAATTCTCTTTCCGATTCCTCGGCTCGAATTATGGCCCCCTTTTTGAATGTTGCGGAATGGGGGGCTTTTCGAGGTTCATTCTTTTCTGGAGTTACAGTCGGCAAACTCCATTTCTCGCCGAGGTAAAATTTTCGTATGAGTTGGCTCAGAAAGGAATGTAACCTCTTTCTGTGATTCCCTTTGAGCGTTTATGTTAATAACAATAGCTCCTAGGTTCAGAAAAATAAATTCTACTTTTCGCTGAATAACTGAATATAAATTGCGTATTCGTAACGACACCTATATTTCGTTGAGCTAACTTAGCATCAATCGATGGAGTATTGAAAAATGTGAAGGAAAATTATAACAGTTTACATTTTATGCAATTATTGCCAAAGAACCATGTAAAGTTATTATAATAACTTTCAGCATAAGACTTTGCTTAAATTATACTCCTTTTAACTGAATACGGTTATAATTGAAACTATGAAAAATCAAAAACTATTTTTGCAAGATTTAAAAATAGTTTATTTTTTAATTATATCTATATTTATATTTGTATAATTAAATCTATATTTTAAATTTAGTTTTTATACTAAATACTGACTTACAGTTCTTGAACAACGTTATGAGCAGTCGATCTGGAATTTCTTGTTTACAGGCTGCCATGGTGAATCAATTTACTGGGACTGCTTCAAAAACACATCTCGAATGGCGAAAATATTTTCATCAATGGACGCTTACCCTTACCTCTAAATAGTGTTTCGGAGATTTCATTTCCCATAACAAGACACCGTACATTGCTTTTTCAATGCACGACACCATTTTTTCAGTAGACAAACAAGTTCCCTACTGCAGTTCCCAAAATTTAAAACAATGGAATTGACCTAAAGATTATATCGATATAAATTATTTCCTGATATTTCATAAAATTACGTTTCAATTCAATTTTGTTATCCGGTAATTAAATTACACACACACAGTGCCGCAATTTCTGATATTTCATGGTACAATATGAGAATAAGTAATTCCATGCAGATTTATTACCTAACTCATCTGCTAAAGTATTCAAATAATAAATTGTTGTAATATCCGGCTTTATGATTGAAATTCAAATCGAATTTTTATCTCTGAAAAGCAGCGCAAACATCAAGAGTAATATAACCAGCTTAGCTTTTGTAGACTTAAGCCAATTAAAATTATACTTAAAAATACTATACAATATGTTTTAAACTGTTCATATTCTATAAAACTTATATCTCTTTAGCAGAAAATTATGTAATCAAAAATATGTTTTTCTTTAACATATTACTTTAACTTTTTTTGGAGGGGGAGAGGATACGCCGCTCCTTGCACGTATTTGAAATGTTTTGTTTCCTCTAAATCCTTTTAAAGGGAGTAACTTTAAATTGAAATTCTATATATTAGCTTGATTTATGTCTAACAGTGTATCATAAGTTATTCTGGTGCATAGAGAAAATTTACGAGCAACTTTTTATCAGCAAAACTTATGAACAACTTCTGATCAACAAAATCTTATGAGCAACTAAATAAATCGTAATTAAAATTTTATTCGAGCTACTGTTTGGGTACGACTTAAAATTGTTTAGAATACAAAACACTTGTGAATTCGTAAATTAAAAAACATAATTGTTTCGTCAGCTGGCGTGAAATCACTAGCAAGTGGTAATTTTAACTGATCTAATTACTGTGATAGTAGTTAGTGTTCACCGAAATGCAACGTACGGTGCAACGCAAAATTTAGAGCATTGAAAAATTTGAGTTAGTTTTACTACTTTACTACATACTTTTATTGGAGTAAGAAATAGTTTTACCAAGGCATTTTAATATACAGCGTAGTTAGAAAACTACACACACTATATATATATTTACTTTCTCATAACTGAATTTTCATAAACATCATAAACACTTTTTTTGGACAACTTCTTGTAACAGAACGCAAAAAGAACAGAAAAGTATGAAGCTAAAACAAAAATTTAACAAGCAAACGTATTAAAATAAATTTTCAAATTTGCTTTTTTGAAATTAATTTTTCTATTGTAAATATATTCAGTGTAATGACTAATATAATTTTCATACCTCAATAAATAAGTTCAATGAAAATGCGCTAATACTCCAACATTCTTATTCACACAAAAATGCTAATATTTGGCATAACATTTCCTGGAAGAAAAGCAATTTGCATCAATATCGATATTAGATAAAGAATATATAACTGTCTTTTCTACAGAAATGTATGTTAGGATGACTCATAACTAAATTATAAGCCAGTTTACAGTGCGAAAAACTTCCAAATTGGAAAGAAATATGGAATCTTCGCAATATAAAGGAAATTCACAATATAATAATGCGAAATATATATATATATATATATATATATATTTCGCATTATATATATATATATATATAATTTCACTTATTGGCCTTAGACTGTAAACGTTCCTGTCTTCAGACTCATATTTACTTTGAAGACTATCGTAGTATATCCATTTGTCAATAGTAGATTGCTTACTATAGAGATTATTGCCTTTACAGTTATTACGTAAATTACTAAGCACATCGGAGGGTAGATATATGTGAAACTAATACTGCATATTAAAAGCAACGACTTTCAGCTGTATAATCAATAGAACATAACTTAAATTGATATTCTGTGATTAACTGTGCAGTGACCAACACAAAGACTAGTTGGCAAAGTAGTAAACTACAAATATTATGTACAATATAGCTCACTTTCGCGGAGATTTATAAGCTGGATATAAATATTGACTCCATCAACATGAATAAAAGTTACAAAATTATAATTGGATTGAAAATCACAACATTCCGATTTGTTTAAAATGTACAATATATAATATTCCGGATACTTTTAGAAATAGGGACAGTATTACTCTAAATCTCTCTCCAAACTTATGGCAGATAATAATCAAGCGTTTACCAGTGAGCTGTTTCCTTGTTCAGATTCTAATTCTGGCATCCGACAGGCAGGATGTTCTAGATTACTCGATTCACGCTATCAGCACTGACCTAAGCACATTCACTTAATGTGCTATCTGTACGCTTGATGGGGAATATTCTTCCTGCATCTATTTTAAGAAAATAACTATTGCAAGTTCTTATGTATTTTGAAATCAGAAAAGGGAAAAAGGAATCAATGACACAAAAATGTGCCTAATCAATATAAATTAAGCATTACAATTTATGTACATCATTTATATGTAAAAGGTAAAATAAAATTACAAAGGAATTTTAATTTTATTCCATTATTAAACAATTTTGTACCCAGTAACTTAAGGAAAATGAACTTCAAATAAATTTTGATTGCGAAGTAATATGTGGTCGTAAAATAAATTAACTAACTTACGATAATCAAGGAACGCCGAAAGTGGCGACTGCATATAATGACAAAATGACATGTGCTCGCAATGTATGGAAACAGAGAAGAAGAACACATATCATGCTAACGTAACCTATCTCAGAAATTCTCAAAATAAACGCAGAATTATAGGATAACACAAAATTCTGCATGGACAGTAGAAATGGAATGAAGTATTAGATGGTATATTTAAACAGCAAGAAGGCGGCGCAAAGAAATTGACAAAAGTTAAAAAGGAAGTGGAAAAAATGAAATTTCGCAATCATTGTCATACATGCTGGCAGGGCATCTTGTATTACCGAAATTATCTTAAAGCAGCGCCATTTGTCAATCCTGACCATATACAACTCCATTCATGTGGTATTCCGCAAAGTATAACGTCTTTACATCTTTGAAATAACAAACTTGGAAAATACTGATGTATTAGCTGGTAGTTGGGATATTGTATGATGGCAAATAGTTTTCCAAAAATTTGTATTCAGGGATCAGACAGGAGATCAGCCGAGTTTCCAAACTATGTAATCAACTGAAAATCATGCAGTGGTATTCGCAAGAAACCATAGACATTGATAATGTAACAGTAAAAGTAATTCATGTTTAGCTGCCCCATAAATTATCGGCCCAGAGAATATGGCTATTGCTTTCATAGCTTATAGTTTTTTATAGTTTTTATGTTGTAGCTTCACGAGTTTATAATACTGTTTCTGTGAAAGTCTTAATTTCTCTACCCAATAAATGAAAATTACTATTGCAGAAAATGAGGAAATGTGCTGTTTACTCTGTTCGATAGGTGTCTCTGTGTCGCGGCTGCACCATCATTTGCAAAACTAGGAAAATGTTCTGTAGCAGACATTCTCACAGTCATTCTCTGCAGCTCAAAGGCCGATATCTTTCATGTTTTCGTTTTACATACAACATTTCAGGGCTTCATGATATTTTCATTCACTTCAGATGCTAAGTGAGTGAAAACAACATGAAATCATTGTGAAACACTCGTGTTTGTATTGGGAATTTTTTAAGAACTTGTCTATTAATTCTAGTAGTGACACTGTTCTTTTGTCACATATCGCGAGGGCATCTCAGCTGACTTAGTATGTTGCAAAAACTGAGTTTTCTTTTGTTGGCAAAGTTATTTTATGATACCATGTGCAATACGTAGTTACATTTTAAATATTTCACTTTCCTGTGTTATATTTTAAATATATCTCATAAAATGCATTCTTGTAATAAGTTATTTTTATTTAATGCATAGTAAAAAAGTATATAATAAAAAACTATTTTAATAAAATTTTAACAGGTAAAATGTTCAAAGCTGTAGATCTGTCAAAGCTTGTGACATTTTTTGCTATATTTCACAACGACAAGCCAGTGGATTGGTTGCTAGACCATATGATACAAACTAAAGTGTGCCGGTTTGATAGAGATAGCGTAAGTTATTTCTAAATGTTTTCATTTGATTTTTTTATTTATTACTATTGCATTTGTTTAAAGATTAAAATCAGATTTAGATTGCATAATGTTTATTTCTGTGCCTATATGTAATTCTTAGACACTATATTTAAGAGCGAAGAGTATTTAAGAATGGAGAAGTTAAAATTAACATTTGAACAAAAATTCATAGTATCGCTTAGCATAGGTAACATTGATTAATAAATGTTTCTTCGCTGAGCATGTGAGTTTGCTCCTTATGTATACGGATTAAGAATAAAGGCTTTATACTTTTTTTCAGTTTCTGAGCGATTATGATTTAATGTGGGTATACATAAACTTGAATTTTATTGTGGATGCATTAAAATTTAAATTGAAGAAAAATATTTTTGTTTAGATTAAAAAAATTTTTAGACTGATTTAAACTGTTATAATTCTACGTTTTGTTTACCTTAAAATAAAACGTACTCCTTGAAAAAATATGTAAAAATGCTCGTTGGTCGGTTGTATATGTACATATAAGTCAGAGATCACAATCTTTCCTGGACCATCGTCTCTTTTCAAAGAAAAACGTATTCCAATGGACCCCTCTTCCATTATAGCTAATTTTGTCGAATATTAAAATACTGTTGTTTATTATCTATATCAGCTTTGTCTGTCTCCCTGTCTATTAAAAATCACAAAGTAGAAATTAATTGAAACGAATAGCAAATATAGAAAGAAGTATTCATTACAAATTTTAAAATAAACAAAAAATCAATAAGAAATAAAAAATTAATGAAAGGCTGAAGCCGTTGGAGTTTTAAATGTTTTAAAGCCGGGTTTCAATTTCTTTAACATCACTTACAATTAAGTGATGTGTAGTCTGTTCCTTTTCTTAGACTGTAAATCAGCTACAGCATTGAGCCCACGCTCAGCCAAACATGATGAAGGATAAGCAATTTAAAATTTCATTACTCTTATCCGTAATCCGGGACAGAGAACTGATGCTGATTTTAGAACTCTTAATATCCATTTCTGAATTTTATTTTAGTTCTTCTTTAGTTATGAGTTCTACGAATTCCTCTTCTAAATTTGATAATTCTGCTATACTTGCATTTGCGAAAGATTCCAAAACCCACCTCCGTGTACTAATTTTTAAATCACCCCGGAATATCTCCTTAAAATCGGGGTGAAGGACGTCTAAATATTAGCAATAAATAAGAATACCTTCCTGTTTTTCAGACTAATGATAATGTGGAAAATTGGCTGTATTCACTTCAACATAATTTTCATTTGAATAGAAGACGTTTTCCCACAAAAACAGCTATAACTTTTTTTGTTTTAATTAAATTCATCTCATCACCTTGCGATTATAAATTGATTTCATTAACTATTTTAATCACGTCTGTCAAATAAACGGGATCGTTTTTTGGATTTAATCAAGTTTTGCATAGTTTTTTTTATCTGTTTTCCAGAAGTCCAATACTGAATCAAATAGAATGAAAAAAACGATTCATGTAAACTACCTTTTAAAAGCCAACGAACTTCTATGTACAGCAGCAAGCAATTGTAATCTTCATTTCCACTACAAAGTTGCCGAGTAATCTGCCATGCAATAAACTGCTTCTGATCTTACTGACTGCTCTAATAATGTACTGAAGCTGCTGAAGCGACGTATGCAGGACTTAACTCAGGTTTTTGCAACCGACTAACGTTATGTGCTTAGCCAGCACATTTGCTACTGCTTGTTTTAAATGCGCTATAAAACCTTTGTGATGCCCCGTCATTGCCGTAGCTCCAACAGCAGATGCTGACAAAATATTACAAATGGAAGTTTCTCTCTTTAAAAAAAAACTTGTTCATGGTATTAAATATCGAGTCTTCCTTTGTATCGGTTTCTGCATTTTTAGCAAATAACTTTTGAGAAATATTTTTCTATTTTTATGAATCGCACGTATGACAATAGTAGCTTTATTATTTGATAGAGTTGATTTATCGAGTTCAATGGAAAATTTTTAAGTCTTTAAGTAATTGCATAATGATGCTGCATAATGATAAAATTTTGCCATTTCATCTCTTCCTTTTTGCACCGAGTTATTACTCAGAAGAATCTTTCCGATGAAATCTGAAGGTATCTTAATGATTAAGGTAAGTTTTGTAGCCTCCTTAACTACCATGAAGACAAATTGCTCGCGAGTTGTATAGGGTTTCCATAACGTGCTCGTGTGCCATCTTCTTCTTGAGAAGACGACGCAAAAAGGATTGTGGATGTTTTAAAGATTTCTCCTTTCAGTATTTGAAAATAGGATAAATATTTTCCATTTTTATCAGTATATATTTTATTTTAATGCTTTTGAAGCCTAGAAGGGTTCATTCAGAAAATCATTTTGACAAATTAAAGGCTTAAGTAAAGATTGATTTTTAGGAAAGTGAGTAAATCCATCTTTCGTATACTAAGTACGGTACTGACTTCATTTGTTCTTAATTCAAACATTTGGAAGTGCAAATTTTTCCAAGGTTTAAGTAAATTAATTTTTCAACAGATTTATAGATAGTTATAAAAATAATGGGATAATGACTTCACTCACGCATATGGATTTTTGGCAAGACGTAAGATAATCCAGAGCTATCTCTGTCTTTTATAGACTTGATTTTGTGCACGGATCGACTTGTGGGCGATGCAGGTACCCTTGCTCTGTAAACAAGTCATTACAAACTCCGAAATTTATGTCGAAATACGCATGATTGCGTGAATGACGTCTTTGTTTACCATCTTGCAAAGACTTGTCACAGACGATACTGAACCAAATTAGATATACTATGTATACCTAATGCTAATTTAAATTTTCCCATACGCAATTGCAATAACAGAAAAATTTTAGGTAGTTACATAAAATGTTTATTCAGGAAAACACTTAGTAATTTACATTAATTTCCAACGTTGGTAGGTACGCCACGGACGCCTTCTCTTTACTGTCTTAACCTCTCCCACTCCATTTTTCTCTAGACCCAGTATCGCCCACTTGGAATGCTCTCTCTCCCTGTGTGTGTGGGGGGGGGGTTGGTATCACATCCTTTTAGGAACCTATGATATAAGTAAATGAAATAACGTTCTTGTATTATTTCACACGCATTTATATAGGAATGTGACTATTGTATATAAGTGTTTCAATTGCTTAACATTCGAAAGTGGACTTACTGTTTTCGAGAACGTATTACGTGAATTCCATATCGTGACAAAGCAAAATTTGTTACCATTTCACCTGTGAGAAATAGTTTTTGGAAGTCTCGTTAGCAAAACATTCAGTAAAAATGCACTCAGCTGTACCTTGAATAATGAAATCTTCTGCACGAAATCAGGGGCAAAAGACTCCATCTGAAGTTAACTTATGATGAAAAAATTGGTAGTAACTTCTTTACTGTACTTTAGTTTTTTAAGTTTATAGTTTATTAATATTTTGTTAATTTCTTGAAATTTAGAATAATAAATTCTTCTCTGAAAACATACAATGTAATTTCTAGTTTTCAGGCTGCATTTTTATTTATTTACTTTCAGATTTTTAAAATTAATTTAGTTTTTTTCAGGTGTATTTAATATTTTCTGAGAAAATTAAACTTTGATTTTAGTTAATGACACATTTTAAAGATATATCGGTATACATTTTAACGTATTTCATTAATGATGTAATTCCCAGTACACATGAGTCATAAAAGATATGAACGCCTCAAAAATTACTCTTTTGTTGCTGGCTATATTATTCTGAAACCACGGTTATTTAAGTGTGGTTTTAGGCGACCCCTGCATAATGTCCTAAACCGAGGTTTATTGAAAAGTATATATCACATTTATTAGTAAATACATTTCACGGAATGCCTTTGTTTTAATTCATGTACATTGCATTCTAATTTTTTATGCACTTAAAATGCTTCTCTGGGGGTACATTTAAAGATATTCAATAGCTGTTTAGTTGACCTGAAAAGTACTTAAGCTGGTAAACTACCAAAATGCGCATTATTCTCTTTTAGTGGAAAATCCTAAGAGAAAACGTCCGAAATCCTTTTCTTCCAGATTCAATAATTCTTCCACATTACGCTTTATTTTACACTTAACGTGGCAATCATTCAACGAGACGTTTCTTAATGGTGCCATTTCAGAATGGAGTTTAATGACATCAAAGGGGCGGAAGTCCGTAAGGAAAAAGAAAATGGGAAATTTATCGCACTTTATTGTATTTTATATACTGTTACAAGATATTTTATAGTGAGGCAGTTTGTCAATATCTGTTAAATAAGTATTACTGCTATCATTAAATCCCTGTTTTAGAGTAAGTTAACAGTTGTGCAATAATGTGGACATTATTGAGAGCATTAAATAAAAATTTCTACATAGATTGCCGAACTCTTACTTTCAATCTTCGCTGATGTTTTGTAAATTCTGAAGATCGCTTTTGCTGTTATTTGTATATTTAATGTGTAAATAAAAAAGCTCAGTCTTTCTAATACTGTATTTCCCAAAACATGTTCTGAAATTAAGGAAATAAACGATCTATAAATTGCAAAGTTGCACTTAGAAATGCGAAGTTAGTTAAATATTAAACAAATCCAGTTTAACTTTTCCTTGATTCCGAAGAATTTTCATCTTTACATAACTAGGAAAGAATCATGAAATAAGATTTAGTTAAAAAGATTATGAAAATCCTATTATAAAGTTATAACATCAAAGATTCATAAATCGCACTTCTCAATGCGCAAATTTGAAAACAAGTTCATAACACCATGTCGGTATATAGGTGGAGGAATCAGGAAATAAATTACTTTCTATTCAGTTGTCAAAACTCTCTGACTACAGATTCGTTCTCAAATTAAACTCAACTTGATTTCCATTCCGGTTAATGCTAACGGAAGTTACAGGCAACAGAAGTTACATAAAAATATTAACACAAAATAATTAGCAAATATAAATATTATAAAGTTACGAAATGCTCGTCAAGGAAACAGGTCTTTATGGGGAAATGGTT